TTCCGATTTCTGAATTTTGAGTCATGTTTCTGGAACCCTGAAGAATGTAAGTCCAGTATTGGCTCTCTTTTTAGCTCCATCTTTGATCTCTACCAACACCTGAAAGAAATACTGCATTGGCCCAAATATAAGATATTATATTTTTGGAAACCTGGCTTGAAACAGTAAGGGTCATTGTATATCTGAGGCCTAAATAATTACATGTTCACATCAAGTCTTTTTTTTTTTTACTAGAGAGCGTATCAATGTAACACCAGCTCCTTCGGAGAGTGTTGCATTTATTCAGACCTGAAGAGTGATTCGTTAGCTCAGTTTAACCTGAAGCTGTTTCTAGAGAATCGTGATGCATTTTGCTGCCACAAAGGAAATAAATTCATGAATTCCTGAAAACAAATTCATAGGATCCCCTGGCGTCTTCACTGCAGAAATGAACGAGGGAGAAAATCTGATAAACAAAATACTGCTGTCGTGAATGACGAGCTCATAAAACAAACTGAACATTTTTGATTGTCTCATGAGAACTTTCCCAACAGGACAAGTGTAAAATTGTCTCCTATGCTCAAAAACAGATGTTGGAAAGGGGAAGAGGAGGTGTCTTATATTCAGGTCAGTACTACAGTATATGTGGCTCCTTGGCTGCTAAATGCTCCACTGTGTTCATCGCTAACATTGTCTGTCTGTCTTTTGGTGCCTGACAGGCAGCGGATTAAAATGCTGTTGCTGTGGTTGAAAATGATGCTGGTCGGAGTAGTGCGAGTGAACCAGAACATTAAATCTGCACACCGTAAAACAAAAACCACGGAACTGAAAGTTGCTAAAATGCTACACAGCTGAAGGAAACTGCAGAGTCAGGTGATAATTCTCCGTGAAATCTTCAGTGGCCCTTTTCACATTACATGTCATCTGTTATATAAAATATTGATTATAGCAGCTTTAAAAAGTGACAAAAACCTTCAGCAGCACTGGCTAGTGAGCCAACAGGTTGATTTCAAGCCCTGGGTACAACATTTAGTGCACAGCAAGGTGCTCCATGGGTTTATACATGTATTTGACCGGACTTCACGAAAGCACAGTGAGTGAGGAAGACTGATGTGTGGGATTAGAAAGACACAAGCTGGAGAGGAGAGAAAGAATGGAGGACGGATTGTACAAGTGCCAGAGAATCACAAGGCTGCCTCTCATTTCCAAGTATTCTAAACAGAGACTGCAGAGACGGGCTGCACAAACCACACACAGACTCTGACCACAGCATCTTCAGAGGTACAATTTCACAGGCCCTAATTACAGCGAACTGCTGCGTTTCTTATTTGTTGTGCCAAAATCTCAAATTGCACACACTTGCGTTCACCGTTTACAGATCCAGACAAACACATACACAGCATGTTAATTTAAATTGTGCATATATGGAAGTAGCAACTACAGTGCTGTCTGCCAGCAGATAGTATTGATGCTGTTTCTCTTACATATTCATGAAAGCATTTCCTTCCAACTTTCAGCGCAGAAAATATTGTATTAAATCCTTCTCTCTTTCTGTTCTTCAGTTCTGTTTTGTGTGATTAGTATACTGCATTCGTCCAGAAGTGTTACCCAGGTTTTGAGGTCTGATTGCTCTCTCTCTCTCTGGGGTTGCTTCATGGCCATGAATAATGACCCATCAGTTTCCAACACCAGCCCTTATATACACAGGCCATTTAAGACTGAGAGGTTCAGCATTCTGCCATTTTTGTTCTCACCCTCCAATCATGTTCACCATTGTTCAACCACCACCACTGCTTCGTCACAAACACACACTGATTTGGGCCAAACGTCACCGAAGGACTTGTCTGTTTTCTGTGGAACTGTTTGAATCTCCTAAACATCCCTCTCTCTTTCTTCTTCACCTCTTTGTTTTTTCCACAGTCTTGCTGATTTACATTCACTGTATAAAGCATGTTTTCCTCCCCTTCTTAGAGAATTCTCTAAAGTGAGGGAAACTAGGCCATTAGGCTGCAGCACAGCTTCTCCCTTCCTTCAAGTAGCCGCCTTCTTCTAATTCCCCCCTTTTCTCTCTGTCTCTATCACCCTCCCTCCTGCCCCATCTCATTCTAGCTTTTTCCTTAAATTGCCTGCAGAATCCTTCAGTCCGTTCTTTGCAATCTTTAACACATGGCATTCTCCTTTTCCTCCTTTGTCTTGCTCCTCTTCCTGCCTTCAGTACCACTGTGTCCTATCTCCTACTATTTCTCTCATATCATTCATACTCCATGTACAGACACACACACACACACACACACTCTGTGTTACACACCGTTTTATTTCTTTTTCTCTATGGTAATTATTAATACATTTTTGGGGTACTGTTTACTAAAAATTCTACTTTAATATTATGTTAAGAAAAACATTTAAACTTAATCCATTTTTAGAAGTATTTTGTTAACATACATGGAGATATTACAACAGTTTTATAAGGGATTATGCAGCTATGCAGGTATCCAACTAATGAATATATAGGAGAGTAGGAATGTTTTACACTGCCATGTTTAGTGGAAAGTGCTTCTTGAAAGACAAGTCGGTGTAAAATTTCTTTTTTTCCCCAATATATTCTATTCAACTCTGTGGTATTCGAGTGTAGACAGAAATCCTCAGGTGTCTCAAAACCTGGGCAAATTAAATCATGTGCACGTCCTTGCAGCACTAGAAATAATGAGACAATATGTAAATTTAAGGGCTCAAAGAAAGGTCAGCGAGACTGACAGAACTGGAACAGTGATGGCCAGAGGTGAACTTGACAACACTCTCTCCTATAACAGGTTTAATGGTGCATTTACTAAGATTTTACACACTGTCTGGTAAATCAAGTGAAAATGGGACACAACGTGATGTCTCTGCCCTCTCCGCTGCCTACAGCGCCTCTGTTGTTATTACTGCTTTTCTCAACTGTGTACTTTAAACATACTGCCCATAAATTAGCCCCGCCTGTCACCTAGTGAATGTTATAAGCAGCGGTTTTCAAACGGCAAGAAGTCAATTCAAACAGCCGGCCATGGAGGAGCTCTTGCCAGAAGTCCGAAAGAGCAGCTGCAAGACTGAAGAGGTCACGTTCTTTACCACAGAGAGAGTGGGACACCGAGAGAGCAAAAACCAGGGTTAACATCAGCATCTGTAGTTTACTGTGGCATTAGGGAACAGAATGTTTGAGGGATGAAGAACGGTTGGGAGCAGCTTATGGTGTAGTTTTGTTACGATTCCCACTCGACCCTCGAGCAGCTGAAAAGAAAGTAGGTAGAGCAGCTTTAAGTTAAACCTAACCCAACAAACTAAAACCTGATTTTTTTTCCAGAGGTTTTTTTTTGATGGAAAGTGATATCATGATGGTCTGTTGTTCTCTACATCTCAACCCACACCCCTCACTTCCTCCTCCTCGTGCACTGCGCCTGTTGGTGGTGTCTCGTCCAGGCCCCTTGGGGCTAATCTGCTGATGTACCAGATGCATACACTCATTAACCTGGTGCCACCTTCTAAGAGCCTCATTGACTGTGACAGTCTCACACACTAACTCACACACAAGCTCATACAGCCGTGACAGTCGAGCCCACATCCTTGCTCGGTGTCTTGGGCTGTTACTATTACTATAGCTGCTGAATGTTTGATAAAAAGAGAAAGGAGAGACTATGCCAGAAGAGCAGACAGATGGAGAGGCGAAGGTGTGTCTCTACCTGGCCCAGACTTGGTTTTCACACAGAAACCTTGCTCGTGCAGGGTTTTTTTTTTTTTTTTATTGTCCTCGTCTTTTGATTCTGGTCTCCACAGTTCTCATGTTCTCTTTCAGAATTCCCCTTCTCTCCCTAATGAACAATTCAAAGGATGAGATGGGTCCAGCGGCCTCTCCTCCCAATCCCTCCCTCACACCTTTCTCTTCAAGGCCAAACAAAGGGGGGGGTAACCAGCTTTTTGAG